CGGGGCAGCGCTGCGCTCGATCATTGGACTAGATGACCTTGAAAGGTCCCTTCCAACCCGAACTATTCTATGATTCTGTGATTCCACCCCCTTGGACAAGCACACACGCTTGTTTCCCTCTGCGTCCTTCCTCTGTCTTGGAGGTTACCAGGTGCTACAGGCTTTCCCCTTCTTCTTACTGGCTGAAACATCAGATACCTCACCATCTCCTTTAAGCCATTTCCTCAGACGGACCCTCCTGTCCCTGGGGCCGTTTTCCAAAGACGCCTCGGTTATCCCGCAGCCATGTGCAACCGCCGCTGCTCCCGCAGCTCTCTTCCCTCGCACAAGGTGTTGACCTCTCCCACGCCTAGGCTTTTTCTGGCCGGCTCCCTAGCGCTTGGCCACGCCGCGCTGGCCGCGACACGAGGCAGCTGCGGCCTGCGCAGAGTCACCGCCGTTCGCCCTTCTGGCAGCCCCAGCAGGCCCAGGGTTAGCACTGCGGAGTCCTCGACCTAGAGGTAAGCGTGATGTGCCCTCAAACCCCGGTCGTGACGTGTTTGCTTACTAGCTGACGATGACAGGGTAATGCGCATCTTCTCACTGGCACATCTCTTCCAACAGGTTGCCTTTTGATGAATTCCTTAAGGAGGACAGACGGCCGTGTACGCCGTTGAGGGACTGCTTCCTTCTCGGGAGGTTTTGTCTCCGCAATGCCTGCAGCGGTGGGCCCGCCCTGGGTCTCAGGGCAGACGCAAAGGCCGTGCGTGCGCAGGAGAGGTGGTTGCCTGGTGTTCTGTGCAGCACGAGGCGCTGCGAAACTGATCCCAGTTAGATGCTGCCAGCTTTCAAACCAGTGGCGGCCAGCGGTGACACGTGCTCAGCGGATGAAGACAGTGTTTCCCAGGTGAAGGCTCTGATGACCCGCTTGGATTGAGGGATCCGAAGGACGAGGAGGTGCTCACGGCCCAGGGTAAGCTTTTGGCCGAGGACAGCGTGGCGAGCGTATGCAGGGCCCCAGGGGATGTTACCCTGAGGAGCAGGGCACCAGGCCCTGGGTGGGTGCACCAAGAGGCAGTGGTTTGAGCCTCTCCTTGCCTTCTAGTAGAGAACTTGGTCCAACGTTGGCCATTAGTTCCTTGCAACGTCACAGTTCCAAACGGTGCTGCTTCTGTAGATGGAGCTCCCCGTCCCACCTGTTTCCCACCTTGTCTCAGGAGTTCCCTGCGAGAGTGGGGAGCCCGCTGCCGGCAGGCACGTCTCCTGCCTGCGTCCTCACACCCCCCTTCCCCCCCCTGCCTGCGTGTTCCCCCCGGCGCCTTGCGTTGCCTCGCTGAGCTGGTGAGAAGCTCACCCAGGGCCAGAGAAGGACGCGCTTCGTTTTCCTGGTGGAACGGTGTCTGGGCTCCTGGCGACCTCCAGCAAGCGCCAGAGCAGGCCGGTGCCTGCACGCGTGCGGAGTGGGTCAGGAGTGCGGTGTTTGCTGGCCGCGGACTCCTACCTCCCCTTGGCCCCTTGCAGAACGGCAGCGCACGGCCGGCTGCTGTAGGACCACGCGAGGGTGCGTGCTGCTAAGCGGGAGATGGCGGTTTCTTCGATACAAGGCACCTTCCCGTTCCTGCCGTGTTCCTGTCGGTCCGTGACCTGTTACATACAGAGCCCCTGACGTACAAAGCCCGAAAGAACGTGCGAGTGACCCGACACGTACGGCACAGGCCACGCCAACGTGGCCGCCTTCTCTGCAACCGCTCTCCAGTGGGATGCTCCCTCCTGGCTATCGACAGAGCATCGGTGGAGACGCTGCTGTGCCCGCAGCCGCTGGCGGTTTGGCCCTTCCCGCGTTCCCACCCGGCACCC